AATTGCTGAGAGACCACTGGCCGTGATATTCCAGAAACTAGACAGACACATCCATGGGGAAATCTGGAAGGAGAAAATGTTTATTTACATTTGACATACCTATCTATACCAGTACCTACCCATAGTGACTAAGAACTTGACCTGGTATGAGATTACCTGGATTCTAAACCAACTCCATGATTTATAGTCTGTGTAATCCTGGACAAGTTTCTCCCTGTGTCCCAGTCCCCTCCTCAGTAAAATGAAGGAAATAACATTATGTAGAGTTAAGTATAGTTGTACATACAAAATTAGCCTATGAAAAGTACTTTGCATACCCATGACCTAAGAAGCAATATTAAAATTACTATTTCAGTTCCATTACTATTACTGTAAAAAGATACTTGAAAAAGATACACTGAAAATGCTAATAGTATGTCTTGAATTTTGTGGCTGTTGATATTTTTAAAAATATTTGTACTTTGGGGATTTTTTTCAAGTTTTCTTCAATGAACATGCTATTTTGAATTAAGAGGAAACTTTTCTAATTGTCAAATTATTTCCAAGTCATAAGCATTCTTCTGTGGAAGATAAAATACAAATGATAATTCCTAAGAGAAAGTTTTCTTAAAAATCCTTTAATAATTAAACACATGAATCCAATTCAAATTAGACTCTATTTCCTGCTATGCTATTCTCTATAAAATAACTGGTAAAAAACCGTTATGTTTTACTTATATTTTACCTTAGGGTACAACACGGGAATAGAATGTTTGGGGATATGTAAACTAGATTTGATATTTGTAATGACTTTGTTTTGAATTTCTCATGTTTAGCAACTAATAATTGCACTTGAAATAATTAGCCCATGATTCCTTTGTAATAGCCGAACACCACAAATCGTGTTCTGAAGGTCAATGGTTAAAGTAAATATCCTCAATGGAATAAATGTACCTTTTTCATGGAAGATTAAATAACATCAACTGAATGTGCAGTCTTTTAAACAGAATTCTAAATCATGTCAAGCTGATTCACCTTCTAGTGTGTCCATCTTACATTTTTTTGATTTAGTCCCTGTGCCCTTTTTGTGCTTTCATTAGGTGGAGACCCAGTCTTCTGTACTGGCAACTTTGGACCAATTCATGTCAATTTATACCCAGGGTTTTTCTCTAACATTTCTAATTTCTTTTTTTTTTAATGTTTTATTTTATTTATTTTTTTAAGATTATTTATTTATTTATTTGACAGAGAGAGAGAACACAAGCAGGGGGAGTGGCAGAGGGAGAAGGAGAAGCAGGATCCCCACGGAGCAGGGAGCCCGATGCGGGGCTCGATCCCAGGACCCTGGGATCATGACCTGAGCCGAAGGCAGACGCTTAACCATCCAAGCCACCCAGAAGCCCCTAACATTTTTAATTTCTTAATCTTTTTCTTTATTCTTCTTGCTATTATGTCCTCCATTCTATCTAGTATAACCTGCCACGGTACTATGATCTTTGTTGTAAAACGTGCAGAAGATAATTGGGCAGAAACACGAAAACACTACTTACTGCCCCATTCATAATCAGCTTATCAAATAATGAATTTACTGCAAAGATAAACTTTTTTTTTTCAAAATACATTTGGAACTCTTGTTTAAGAAATGCCTCATAAGATTGTATTAAATTACTATAAATGTACTTACTGGTTTCTGGACACCGGTGCCGTTTAGGATGGCTGTGATGTCTGCCCATATTCAAATGAAACTTGGAGCTTTATGTTACAAATCCAACTGGGGGCGTAGTATTGTTTTTGAAAATAAAATTTGGACGTTCTGGCAGACAATGGCTAGCTGATCACCAAAATTAGATTTAATAAATAAGTATTATTTTAACTAACCCTGAATGAGGACTGGTTGCAGAGACAGCCTGTTGTCTGTCATCCAGTATCCATTCTCCCTTTTTTGCTGTCATAAATGAAACCCTCACATTGAGTCTCATGGCTGCTCAGTGTGAAACCACATTTATAGCTCCCATTGCATCCACAGCCACCATGTGACTACGCTTGTGCCAAAGAGATGTGAGCAGAGATGATATACGTAACCTCTGGTGTATGTCCTTGAAATAAGCTTTGTGCTGTCTACAGTTTCTTTCCCTTGCCCTGGGAGTGGAATTTAGAAGTGATGATAGACAGCCTCCTTCATCAACACACATGAGAACCACATCCTCAGGGCCGCTGGAGTTAAGAGAGGAGAAACCAGGATCGCTGGATAAGAGTGCAGAGAAGAACCATCTGCTCCTCTAGCTACTTCCAGCTTGGACTTTCACTTCAGAAAGAAAGAACTCTTCTTCACGTTTGAGTCACATTTATTTTGGTCTTTGTTGAAATAACCCGGCATTATTTTAAAATACTACTTGAGAACATAAGAAATAATGTATTTATTACTATAATAAATTTGTGTAGCATTTTTAGAATACAAAATGTTCTTCACTTTTCTCCAAATTCACAAAATCCTGGGACCTCACTATTATTATCTAAGTTTCACAGGAAGAAATGAAGGCCTGGGAATTTTGCTCTGTCAAAATTTACCCCAATATGTGAGTTCAAATATAACACACCTTTGAACATACGAAGTTTAGTTTTGAGAATAACCTGTAGTAGCTCACGAGAGGTTCTGCTGTGTTAACTTTTCTCCTTTAAAGTCTTTATCGCTGCTAACACCTACTTTACTGGGTCCTGGCTGGAATCCTGACTAACGCTTGACCTTCAGGAAGTTGCTTAATAACCAAAGACCTCAGTCTCCTCTTCTGCTTATATAAAGGATGATGGGGGAAGGGAGAGGCAAATGTGTTTTTAAATAGCAAGCTGCATTTTTTTCATGAACATCAGCCTAGTGGCCCAACTGCAGAGTACCTGGTCCGGTTAATTTTATCTGAAAACCTTTAAAATGAGTATTATAATTCATATTTGAACGCCATACCTCATAGCATGCAGACACTATAAAATTTGTCTAGCAATGGGCGCCTGGGTGGCTCAGTTGGTTAAGCGACTGCCTTCAGCTCAGGTCATGATCCTGGAGTCCCGGGATCGAGTCCCGCATCGGGCTCCCTGCTCAGCAGGGAGTCTGCTTCTCCCTCTGACCCTCCCCCCTCTCATGCTCTCTCTATCTCATTCTCTCTCTCAAATAAATAAATAAAATCTTTAAAAAAAAAATTTGTCTAGCAAGTAGCCCTTGATAACCAGTGGGAAATCAGCTCAGGAAGCATGGAGACTCCTCTGATTTAACCACCTGATCACATCGGTGCAAATGAAGCTGACCCCAGAGATAGGGAGCAGCTTGCCTCGCAGCAGAACCCCAAGAGGAAAGAAATGTTTACTACACCCTGTGAGTGCATAGTTGTTGAGGCAGGTGCTGCTTCTCCCTAAACTGAGAAATGGGCACTAAGAAAACCCTTTTAAGTTAAAAACTCCTGGGTAGAGATGGAAAGTATGCTTAGGGACATGGAGAGTGGATTACCAGGCTGAAAGGTATGGCTGTTAGAGAGATTTGAGTAGATGGGGGAGGGACAGAAGAGCAGTCACACCTTCCCATCTTTTTCACAGATCCTTCATGTATTGAAATGATGGACATTTCTATCAGATAAGCACACTAACATGGGTCACATATTTAATTTATAAGAAATCAATAGCAAATTTGCTTTTATTTATCCAGATAAGGTCTATTCATGTTGCTTTTCTAATCAATCCCCAAATAAAACTAAATTACTTTGTCGTTTAATGTTTATCCTTTGAAATTTAGTGAAACAACTACTAGTTTACTGGGGAAGGGAGTCAGGAAGAGTAAAACATTAATTAATATTATCTATGTTACTATTTTCACCAAATTTTGCTTCCATGAAAACCCTAGACAAATGCAAGTCTGGTTGCAAAATGAACTGGGTTTGTATCCCAACTTTGCTGGAGCTACTTGAGGTCTTTAAACTCAGTTCCCTAATCTGAGTTGTGAATAATGGGCAAGGTTATTGTGAGATTAGAGCTGATAGACGTCAACTACCTGGCATTCATTAGCAAAGTATATAGGTCGTGTACTGATTTGCTCTGCACCTGCACTGAATTAATCAGGCCGCAATAATTGCTTGGGTACAGTACTATGAAAAATCTGATCTAACAATAATGTGTTGTTGTTGGTTAAGCTGAGGAAATATAGCTCATACAGAATCAATGCCAACATAATGCTTAACCGCAACCCCTTTAATATACTCCTGTTGACCAAAATGAGGCAGCAAATGACAGAGAAGATGCAGGTATGAAGCTAGATGACAATCTGGGCCAATGGGCGCATAGGCTGGAAGATAAGCCTTGGTTTTGCCTACTTTAATGGAGAACAAGTAACCTTTTCACTGCGTCTCAAAAAACAGCTAGAAAATTCTTGTTTTCTTTTTTTTAAGATTTTATTTATTTATTTGAGAGAGAGCGTGCGGACATGAGCGGGGGGCGGGGGCGGACAGAGAGACAGAGAGAGAGTGAGAGAAACAGACTCCCTGCTGAGCAGGGAGCCCGACGTGGGACTCGATCCCAGGACCCTGGGATCATGACCTGAGCCGAAGGCAGATGCTTAACGGACTGAACCACCCAGGTGCCCCGAAATTTCTTGTTTTCTTAAAGAACAGTGATAATCTTTAGTTAATTATCTGCAAAATATTACTCGTCAGATGCAAAAACAATCCTTTTCTTCCTCAATATAGTAGTGTACACTAAAACTTAACGGCATTTCTGTAACTTCTTTTCAGGGGGTTAGCATTTTCATTTAGCTGATTAAAATCCATTGTAGATAATAATTATGCCAGCTTTTTAAAAAATCATTCAAACACTCAAAGATGATTTTAAAATCTTTAAATGGCTTGTACCAGATTTTTATTTCTCAAAGGGTTTATACTTATGGAAAATTTGCTTAGATTATGCCCTTTTGTCATATCCTCAGTAAATGTTAAATCAATGCAAAATGGGTGGATGTGTATTTCTAAAAATAACCTCTTTCACAGGAAGAAGAATTAAGGAAGAGTGGGGAAGCCAAATATGCCCACTTGAGTGATGAACTTCATGTATTAATTGAAGTGTTTGCTCCACCTGGGGAAGCTTATTCACGAATGAGTCATGCATTGGAAGAGATTAAAAAATTCCTGGTTCCCGTAAGTGTCTTTCATTTTTCACAAAGATGTTTCTCATACCTTTTCTTTTTCAAGTGTGCCTTTGGTCTTCACTGACTTTTTAGACGGAGAGTCATATTGCAAACTAATCATTTGTGTAGTTGATAAGAAGGTAAAATAAAATAGAATACAACAAACGCTTAGCACGGGACCTGGCATGTTGCTGCATAACCAAGGTTTGACAGTGTCCTCCGTACATCACCAGGTCACAGTCATGAAGAATAAGACAGTTAGCACATAAACACAAATATATAATTGAAGTTGCATGCTTTTCTCTTGTGTCTTAATCACTTGGTAGTTGACATGTTTTCTTGGCAATTTTTAATTAATGGAAAAAGCATTTGCAGGTACAATGGCAGGGGAAGGAGATTAGATATGTAATATATGCAACAAGACAATGATGTTACTTGAAAATATCAAATGTACTGTTACGTGACATTATGCCAGATGCTGGCTCATTATAAAACATAATGTAAAATAATCAATATTAATAGAGCCAGACATTTGTTGACATCAAAAAAAATTGGAAAAATAAACTCATTGCACTCTATGAGAGCAACAGAGAGTGTTCATTAAGTAAGGCAGCAAACTCAGGGTTGCATATTGGATAGAATTCTCTACCAATTTTCTAAGAAATAGGGGAAGGTTAAATGAATGAAACTTTTATAAAGGTTGACAATTTAGCATTCTAGGAAGAGGTCTTGGCATTGGGGCTTAGAGCAGGGAATAAGATGATTGGAAGAGAATGCTGAGTAAAGTTTTCTGGAGTGCCTGGGCAGAAGTCTTTGGCAGAGGAGAAAGAGAGTAGCTAAGATTAATCTGTTCAATGAAGAAACACTGTAGGGCGCCTGGGTGGCTCAGTCCTTAAGCGTCTGCCTTCGGCTTAGGTCATGATCCCAGGGTCCTGGGATCGAGTCCCACATCGGGCTCCCTGCTCAGCAAGAAGCCTGCTTCTCCCTCTCCCATTCCCCCTGCTTGTGTTCCTGCTCTCGCTATCTCTCTCTCTCTCAAATAAATAAATAAAATCTTTAAAAAAAAAAAAAAAAAAGAAACACTGTAGATTTCTAAAGTAAGCAATAAACTCAGAGGAAATGATGGGTAAGATTCATTGACTGGCAGTGATTTTGAGAATGGGAAAAGAAAAAAAAAAACAGAATTTTGAAATGTAAAAGCATCAAAATCCAAACACATAATGTATTTATATGCCCAGTTTAAAAATTTCTGTCAAGACAAGGTTATAGAATAATCCCATATTACTCTGGCTATTCCCTAACTTTATATGCACGCAGAATTTCTGCACAATTTATTACCTGGTGCTTATCAGAACACCTTCCTAAACAGATCCAATATTTCATAAGCACAAGGTTGTTATCTTCTCTCTTCCTTTGGCGTCCAAACTAAATGCCTAGTGCTGTTGGGTAAGGAGTTTTACTATACTTAGCTCAGATCAGACCTCTAGTGACATAAGTGGTATAGAAAAAGGCTAGGACCACCTACATTACTAACTCATTTCATGCCTGTAGACAAATAATTTAAATTCTCAGAGCTTCAGCTTCTTCATCTTTAAAAAAATAATTATAACTGACTGACCTCTATCACAGTTATTGTGAATGTTAAATAGGGTAATGTATATGAAAGGACATAGAAAATTATCACGCACCATTTAAAGGGATGCTTTTAATCTATTTTATTGTTGTGGTAGATAGAATCTTGGAATGACTTTCTGAGGTTAAATATGTAAGACGAAACACTATTTCATTGCTACATATATATTGGATCTAAGTTGTGGGCTAGGTTAACCCTATTTTATTATAAATGCCGGTAATACATCTTGCCTACTTCTAGACCTTGTGATACGTGTAATAATTTCATTTATAACTTCTCCACTGAAATATAGACTCCATGAGGGCAGGGCTAGCAGTGTCTCTCTTGTATTCCCATCATTTAGCATCGTGCATGGCACAATAATTATTTGTTTGAGGGTCTGACTGATGGGATAGCTGATTAATAGGCACCAGGAGTGATGCAGAGACATAAAATAGCTATTTGGGTCAAGTTGGAGGAATAGTACCCCACAATTAAGATGCTTTATATATACACATCCAGATGAGGAACGAAAATCTCACATTGGTCAATATGACCTGCTCCTGCCTATCTCGGATTTTCTCCCTGCCTGACCGACTGCTCACTCTTTGCACTCCAGACATGCTGGCTTCTGTTCATCCCGCACGCCAGGCTCTCCAGGCTCACGCCTCACTAAGGGCCTTTGAAGATTCTTCTCCAAAATACTGACACAATTGTCATTCAGGTCTCAGCTCATTTTAGCAATGCAGGAAATTTTTCCCTGACCACACGGTCTAAAGTAACCTCCCTGCATTTGTACAATCCTATTATATTTTGTTCACAATATCACTAGCCCCTTAATTAACCCTGCAATTTATTGTCTTATCATGCTTTAGCCCTCTTCACTTACTTAATTTTCCTCATAGCTTTTATAACCTGTTCTATATATACACACATACGTATATATATTACTTATTTGTTTATTGTTGGTTTTCCTGCTAAAATATAAATGTCATGAGGGTGGGATTATTGTCTAGTTTTACTGCTTTATTCCCCTGTTTTGAACTCTGCCAGACACATGGGAACACTTAATATTTTTTGTATGGGTGAATAAATGATTGAATGAATAAGCTTTTGGTTTGGGGTTTTTTTTTTAAGATTTTTTTAAAGATTTATTTATTTTGGTGAGAAAGAGAGCATGCCAGTGCGGGGAGGGCTGGGGGAAAAGGGGAAAGAGAGAAGCAGACTCTCCACTGAACATGGAGCCCAAGGCAGGGCTCAATCTCACAACTCTGAGATCACGACCTGAGCCAGAATCAAGAGTTAGACACTCAACCGACTGAACCGCCCAGATGCCCCTGAATAAGCTTTTTAAAAAATAAATAGGGGAGCCTGGGTGGCGCAGTCAGTTAAGCCTCTGACTCTTGGTTTCATCTCAGGTTGTGATCTCAGGGTTGTGAGATCAAGCCCTACACTGGGCTCAGTGTGGAGTCTGCTTAAGATTCTCTCTCCCTCTCCCCCTCCCCAGCCACCCACACCAGCCCCCCATCTCATGCTCACACTCTCTCTCAATAAATAAGTAAATAGATTTTATTTAGTTAAATAAATAACTATTCTGATAGCTCTCAATGTTGTATTAGTAAATTTTACAATCGGTGGAAGTCCTACTTGATAAATTTTTCCCATCTGCCTTGTTTGCCTCAGCACCAAGAAAAGGATGGCAATTGTCTACTTCATCTTTCACTAGAACCACAGGGGGGCAAATATGAACTGCCAGTTCTTTTTTTATTATAAAAAAATTACTTGCTGATCCAGGTTTCTTTTGACATTCAATATTAAAGTCTATAGAAATGCTAATGTATCAGGACATTAAAATTGACAAATAAAATAGGTGAAGAATTATAGCCAGTAAGAGGCATGTTAGAACCACATAGAAAGCTAATGTAGAATAGGACTACCATCTAATTCCTCTATGAAATGGAGTGTCTTTCCGTAGAGTTTTTACCTTCCTTGCCCTTCTTTTATGTTATCCAGCATTTATCCAATGTGCCCTATGTCCAGAGGTTGTAGTTGTTCAAGACTGCTGACTTCGGAACATACAACTTGTCATGAAATGTCTGAATGTGGTAAGCTGTTCGAAAACAACACAGTTTTAGTACTTTAAATGAATTGTTAAGGGAAAAACCATTATTATTACCTTGGGAAAAAATTTCTAACTTGCTGGTCTCCCTCCAGTTACCACAGTCTTATCAAAACAAGTAGAGTGGCACGTCAATAAAATATCAATAAATTGAATTCTCCTAATTTTAAATCTCTAATACTTTGAGCAGATACTCTATTAAAGTTTTCACTTATTGCTAATTTGGCGTACAAATACAGATTAAGCATATTAAATCATTTGAAAAATAGTGACAAAAAGGATATAAAATCCTAATCTATGTTTCAGTAATGCTAATGCCTTTCTCTTTCCTTTGTGGTGTATAAAGCGGTAAACAAATGTTGTCATTATTATCATTATATTTTATCATACTCCTTTCTCTTATAGCTCAGGCACTAGGACTGTCACATATAGTTGTGCAGATTACCCCTTACACAAGGCTAGGGGATAACATTTACATTGTAGTTTGTGAATGAGACTTCCCTGGGATCCCTGACTACAACTTCCCCTTTTCCAACTTCAAAATAATGGCACTGTATTTCATTTTCCTACTGGTTAACTCTCACCTTCAATTAAGTTGAGTTAGTAAGTTTTACTAATGCTTAATAATTAGCTCATGATTGAACATAATACATTGTCTCATAATTAGAATTTATGAGGGTTTAGCAAAATTCTGCTCATTGAATGTGAGTTTATTCATTCTTTCATAGAAAATATGAAAGGATGGTTCTCCACACAACCAGGAAATTAGGTCTAGGTCACAGATAACAAACAAATAGATGACTTTGTTACCGGCTCAACAGTTAGTTGTTGACAGAATTAAGAGATCACAGTGCTCATTTCTACCAAGCCCTGGCATGGCCCCAGAATCTCAGCACAGTATGCTACACAACACTAGAATATTATCAGAGTTGACAGAATTTGAAAAGTATTTGTCATAACTAGGATAAGTCTCTAATGATCATTGCTAGAGGTTTTATCACTTAAAGAAAAGGTATTATATAGATATACATATATATGTAATATTCAACATAGAATACAGTATATTGTACATTAGCAAGAGAATACAATATATTAACACAATTCAACACAGAAAAAAATGCATCATTCCAGGTTATTTCTTTCCTACATCAGATTGGATGTATGTCTTGGTGACAGTGGTGATTCTTGAAATGGGGCAATTAGGGCATATTATATCATTTCAGGTTTGAGATTAGAAAACTGTGTAGGAAACCTCTCAGGAGTGTGACTATGGAAGAAA